GCCATCACCTTATTTGCCGACAAAATCGACTTAGCCTTTTTAGGGGGTGGTGAACCAAGTCTTCTCCACTGTTTTGATTGTTGTTTTGTTTCCGGTGTACAGTAATGAACCCATGTTTCGTCCATAGTAACAAAACGATTCAAAAAATCATCTGCATCGGCTTCAAATAACTCCAAACAGTCGCGTGAAATAGTCAATCGCGTCCTTTTTTTGTTCAACTGAAAGCAGTCGCGGAACCCACCTCGCAGACACCTTGTGGAAACCCAACTCGTTGACAATGATGTTTTGAGTTCGTTCATAAGAGATGCCTATAATCTCGGCTATCTCTCTAATTTTTAATCTGCGGTCTCCCATTATTAAATCAAGTACTTTTTTAATATTTTCGTCAGTAGTTGACGTCGAAGGCCTTCCAGAGCGGGGTTCATCTTTCACACTCTCTCTACCACGCTTAAATTCTGCTATCCATTTTTTGACGGATGAATATGACAGAGCACAATCCGCCTAATGTACTGACCATGTCATCATGGATGGCTTTTGATGATAGCCCCTTCTTATGGAGGTACTTAATACGGCACGCTGCTCGATTTGCTCCATTCGCGGAAATTATGTCCGATTACTTTGTTAATAAATTTATAAAATCACAACTAATTATCGCACACGTTTCGAACTTCACGCAATGAACTAGTCTGAACTGTACTAAATAATGTGGGTAGATTTGATTTTTAGAATTGAATGGATCTGTGTTAGGCCGAGTACTTTTCAATCCACCCTCGTATTTTTTCGAGTATTTGCCATTCACTATCTGTGATTTGAAAATCATTCAATTCGGTGACAGAAGTGCACAATATGTTAATGCCAGTTCTCACTTTTAAACCAAATCCAATCATATCATGTGTGGAATTCCATCTCGTTGGACAGTCGAGTATGGGGTTCAGATTTGATGGCACGCCAGCTGCTTCACAAGCAGACTGAAACTTCCTCTTCAATATCTCACGTCTTTTTATTTTACTGGAAATACTGCGTAATTTTGTTATAGCTGTACGTGAGTCAGCGATATTTGGCGCATATTCTTCATCTTCCTCAGTTTCGTCTTCATTATCTTCATACTGCTGTTCTTGTCCCTTATTGTCAGTTTCACTGTGTAATGCTAAGATCTTTAATAAATCTTGTACACCAAGGTTCAAAATGTGAGCAAAGCACCAGAATTGTCTGAATCAAAGTGTGGCAGCTGTTTGTCCAATTCATACATAAATTTTGGTATTTGCAGTTGCGTTGTCGACCGTGATACCCTGTATTTTATCAATTATGTCATAGTCCAATAAACATTCGTGGAAAATCGTTGCAATATCTTCCCCAGTATGTCGACCGCGTGATGATATAAAATCAAGGACTACAGAACGATATTTCCATTCGTTGTCTATATAATGAATAGTGACCCCGTAGTAACTCCTACCAGCAATTGACATCCATCCATCAATGGTAAATGACATTTTAGATGAAAATTGTTGTAGTCGTTTCTTAAGATTCAAATGAAGCTCTTCAAACCGTTCTTTGGCCTTACTTCTAAGTGTGGACCTTTTAGGAAACACCATATTTGGGCAAATTGATCGAAAATGTACTTGTGTAGCTTCGTCATCGAAAAATGAGAAGGGAAGATATTTTTTAACCATCCAATCAACTGTAGCTGTATAGGTAGGTTACTTTTATGGCATAGAGATCAGTTAAGAAACGGTTTTGTGAAAACCTATCCCTAAGGGAGCGAAATGGGAGTGAAATGGGAGTTGGAAGTTTGTATGAAAGTCCTACGTTTTTGAAGTTAGAGACACGAAAATCGGCATTAAGGTCATAAGTTTTCAATAATAAAATCCTGAATAAGATGTTTTACGAAATCCTAACCCTAATGGCGTGAAATTGGGGTAAAATCGTAACATGCAAGTCCTATATTTTTAAAGTTTAGATATGAAGATCGACATTTACTTTATTAGTTTTAAATAATAAATACTTGCATAGTTAAGCTTTACCTATATAGCCTCTTTATACTTAGGTAAGACTTTTGCAGTGAGAAAATTTCAAAATCTCATAGGAAATCAGATTTGTACGCGGACGAAGTCGCAGGCGGCCGCTAGTTATATGTGTTATGTAATTGTGTGATAAATATATTTTTTCTTACCTGTCCACTTTTTCCGGTGGTTATTAAAAAGCTTGTGATATCTCCATTTAATTTTGGTTTTTCAGGAAGAAATATTTGTGATTCCTTTTTGTGGAAAGATATTAGATGCTTCTTTAAGCCTGAAGTGTTTCTGTTTTTCATTTTTATTTCAACCTTTTTATGTTGGCATAATTTACACAAAGCAATTTGGGATGCATGAATTATGTCGAAAAACTCATCACATTTACTTTTAGGTCTTTTAGATCTATAACTCCAACTCTCGCTACTCCGACTAGAACTATTCGACTCTTCGTCACTCATGTCAAATTGTAAACTTATCACTCTGAGAACAACAAGGATTAGAGTATAAACAATTAATACATTAGACTCGAAGCAAAGCTCAATTGGGAATGACTGGAATTAAAATAAATACTACTATTTGTAAGTACAGGCCGAAAGACCGACAAAGGAAAGTTCGGCATCCTTTGATAAAATTAATGATTCTTCAGAAGATTAATATTGATGCGTTGCCAGATAGGTATAGTGTGCCTACGTAAAAATGAAATGTAAATATGTAAATAAAATTGTGTATATTATGTTCTTCTTGTGATTGAATTAATCTACGTTAATTAAATTAAATTTGCCTTCACTTGTTTGAAATTCAAAATTCAAATATGTTTTATTCAAGTAGGCATTAAAAATACACTTTTGAATAGTCATATGATCACTGTTTTCCTATTAAAATTGTTTTACTATTAAAATTGTGCAAATCACTATTATTTACATTAATTCGATGCAATCAATTTCTTTAAACGGTTCTCTAAGAGATACTCGGGCTCCTAAAAAGTACATAGATTATATTTTACGTTTTTTATTTAATATGCACACTTTTTATATTATTCGATTAGCATTGTACAAAATGTTTACACGTTTCAAGTGTGTTAAAAGTGTCTACAATATTTATCAAATGGGTGACGACATATTCGAACACTTTGTGTTCAAAAACACACACTACCAAAAATCGAGATTTGCAGTGAACTTATTGAACATGTTTATCTATTAGGTAATAATAATAATAGTAAGTAATTATTATAAACCCATATAGTTAATATTATAATTATTACTTACTAGAATAAATTATTATGGTATCTACCTATCCTTACCATTATCTAATTACAATATTCCTTGCGAGATCAGTAATGTATTCGTGTCCATTCTGAGCACCCGGAAACTTATTTTATTCTTTGGAACATGTACTCTGTGCCGCCGGCGCGTGTATCTTGACCTTGTGCTTCCGAATAACTGCAAAATTTCTTTGACAGGTCAGTATTCGACCTTTGATGACGTCGACAACAAGACACCGCGCACTATCAAAGTGCCGATGGTCAAAACTAGAGATGCACTTTTTTCTTTTAATGGATATTTTCATCCGCTATGAATGTTTATGGTATTGTTCGTAATGCGCATAATTCCAATTTTCCAAAATTTTTTTTATATATGTTTTGCGTCTCACAGAGTCGCTAAGCGTATACCCGAACTCCTATACTCCCTAAAACGACACTCATTCCTAACTGCAAAACGCAAGAGTCTCGCAGGCTTAGTCTTGTTCTTGCTTAAATCTTGCACGGTCAGTCTTGGTCTTGCTAAAATTAGGCGGTCTTGTTCTTGGTCTTGGTCTTGCAAAAATGCAAAAACAAGACCAAGACTGTAATACCAAGACCGGTTTCAGCAACACTAAGTTCGGACCTGTCATTTTATTTCGCGCGCTCCGTCTCGTTTCGATATTATTACGTTGCCAAAGCCGGACGGCTTTATCCGGCGCCTGGCAACAATCAGGCTTTTTGGTTGCGTGTCCGGCCAAATTAGACGGTGTCCGGTCAAATTAGACGGTGTCCGGCCCGTCTGGCTTTTGTTAGGCTTTTTAAAGGAGACAATCGTTTTTGGGTCAACTAGATATTTTAACGTAACTACGTAGTTACGTAACTCATAAAAGAGATACCAATTTATTATAGTAAATTGGCTAAAGAGTTTATGAAAATCTAACCGTTATCATGATTAATAATACAATTAAGATACAATACCTACATATAAATTACCGCAGTCTGTTTATTCGTGAACTGTTTTTACTTTTTATTATTAACACTGCACTATTATAACATAGAATATCGATAAAAACTACTAAACAGTCGCACATATATGTTTGAGGTTATAATGAGATTGCCATTGTGATTGTTAATTTCTCAGTATTCCCGTTAGATGCGGTAAAACTAATATCACTAGAGTAATCTAGAGATATGAGTAATAAATCGACATGTATCATTCATTTAAATTCATCATTAAGTTACGCCACAATTTGTGGTGAGCCCATTCTCCATACAAAAAGAAATTGACTTTTTCACGTACCCACATACATAATATTGCAATTATTTAAATTATATTTTGATGAATAATGAATGATTAATTTATTAATAATAAAGGAGACTGATTTATTCAATTTTATTGTTATGTCATTAGTATTTGAGAATATTTTATGGTAAATAATAAAAAGTATTGTTTTACTTTAAAAATCATGTTATACTAAGACTAACAAATTAAGGGTGTCCGGCCTTTTTACACTTTCTTGCCCTAAAACCCCTCTCAGAAATGTAGGGTGGGGGGAGGTGTGTCAGCGGGACGTAAATAGGCTGTAACTTTAACTTATACAATGAAATATGACTGCACCCATTTTCTTATTTAGAATGTGCCATTAAAGTATCATTTCTATCCTAAAATTGAATAGACGTGTAACATATGACTAAATAAATTTAGTTTGCAACTTATTTTAAAATATAAAGCACATGGTAATTTGCAGAGGCACTCCATTATCCACTGAGAAGTGGGAAGGTTTACAGGACACTGAAGGAAGGGTCGCAGAGGTTGATGGGGTAAAACAACTTATATTTAGAGGGGTGAGTTTTATAATGTAGTGTTATAATAATTTGAAAGAAGCTAGCATCCAATATAGTTATAATTATATTTTTTGTACATGACAGAGCCATGCTGCAACTATAGAAGGTTATTTATCAATTTATGCCTAAATTTGCAGAGGAGGTTCAAAATAAGTCTAATATTAGTAGAACGGTAAAAAAACTTTTTTCAAAAAAATTGGCAGAACCACGGGAACGCTTTCGCACACATCTGTGGCCACAACAGTGCCGGCCGCCACTTTGTAGCCTCTCCTCGGGAGAGACTTCTCCTCTCCATTTTCCTTCTCAGGTAAGGCGCACCAGGTACATAAGGCGCGCCTTCCCCCGCAGCCTCAAACTCAAAAACTGTCCACTTTCTCACAGAATGCCAACAAGAAATGAAAGCGTTTCGTATAGTAAGTGTAGAGATTCAGAGACACTATTTAAAAGAAGGTGAGGCATTTTATCTTGGGCCTCAGGGGTATAAACGCATCTGCGTTTTGTTTCTAAATTGAGGATAGATGAATGCCTCAATATCCTCTTATGCCATTGGGTGTACTGTGTGCTCGTTTGTCACCCTTATTCTATATAAAAAAAGTAAACTGTTGCCTAAACATTTGTCTTTTTATATGCATATTATAATTTTTTTTTTTATATATATATATGACTGCCTCGTTGGTCTAGTGGTTGTAGTAGTGCGACTGCTGATCATGAGGTCCTGGGTTTGAATCCCGGGTCGGGCCCAAAAATCAATTGTTGATTTTTCCGTCAAGAAATTCTCAGTAGCTGCCCGGAGTCAGGAAGTTGGCGGTGTCTCACCCCCGTGCCTCAGAAAGCACGTAACGCTGTTGGTCCTACGCCTGATTTCTCTCCGGTCGTGTCGCTTTACCGTCCCATCGGATTATGAGAGTGAGGGAATAGAGAGTGCACCTGTGATGGCTAGCCTCCGTTGAGGCAGGTCGCCGTGACCGAAATTCGGTCTGGAAGACATTATTATATTTTATACTTTATATTGACTGTCCCGTTGGTCTAGTGGTCTTAAACGCATAATTCTTTGCTCCGATGCTTCCTGTGGGTCTTGTGTCCCGCTTACAACACCCAAGCATTGGGACGACGGATTTTCTTATGCTGCCACTACACGGCAATTTTATATCGATGTTGATACTATAATTGATAACTTACAATTTTCAGGGTGTAGCACATTCTATAAGACATGCAGTATGGAAGTATCTATTAGATTACTATCCATGGAGCATGAGTCATTCGGAAATTAAAAACCTACAGCGACGGAAGACAGAAGAATACTTTTCGATGAAGTTGCAATGGAGATCAATGACAGAAGGCCAAGAATTGAGATTTTCTGAGTACAGAGACCGGAAGAGCCTGGTTGAAAAGGATGTTAATAGAACAGATAGGACCCATCCGTTTTATGCAGGAGACAATAACCCCAACTTAGTCGTCCTACAGGATATTCTGATGACCTATGTAATGTACAATTTTGATTTAGGATATGTACAAGGAATGAGTGACATATTGGCTCCAATATTGTTGTTGCTAGGCAACGAAGTGGACAGTTTTTGGTGCTTTGTTGGTTTCATGGACAAAATTGTGAGTATTATTTTATTAGAGTAAGATTTTTGGAAAATTCTCTCAGTTGTCTTTCACAATAGCCCTACACTAGTGAGTAAGGCATCAGCTTCTGTATGATTCCACTTTATGAAATTCCATGTCTAGTCAGTCGAGATAGGGTTAAAACTTGGCTATATTTTCATGATTTTCATACTATATTCGAGTTTTTCTTCTTCTTCTTCCTTTATGGCGCTTATGATGAATTTGCCGATGTTACATGCGAAAAGGTTTATTTGGGACACAAACTCTGCATAAAAATGGAAAATTGATAATATAAGAGTGTAACAACAATATTATGTGATTGTTTTTGGCCAACTTTCTGTTGAATAACCTAAAACGAAAGACCAGACAATGTTGTTAGAATAATACTAATGTGTTATTATATATGACAAACCAATTACTGTTTAATGTTGTTAGAGTTAATAAAATCACATAAAATATATAAAAAAGTGGTATTTGTGAAGGTTAGAAGGGAGTTAAAATCTATGGGACGAGGGATATAAAGGCAATTTCCTTTTGACGTGTTCACGTGTGTACGTAGTATTAGCATCTACCCCATCCAAAATATTGTGAAAAATCCGAAATACGTTTTTTATTTTTCACGCATTATCTCAATTATATTCATTATATAATTATAAAGTATAGATTAAGCTTTGCTTTGCAATTGGAATGTGTTCGTTTTTAATTTTTTTTTATTGTGCGTGTCTAACGTACGTGTACGCACTTACATGCGAGCATGTGTACGTACATGCGTGGGTGCATATGTGAGTATGTTCGTTCTTCAGTGATCTGCTTAGCCTTTCATTAACAAACGGTTTTATAATTTACTTAATGAAATATTACAGGCACCAAACTTCGACATGGACCAAGCCGGCATGAAACAACAACTGTTGCATTTGCAACAACTCCTCACGTTCGCTAGTCCCGAACTAGCTCATCACCTGGCGCAGAAAGATTCCGGCAATATGTACTTCTGTTTCCGATGGCTGCTTGTTTGGTTCAAACGAGAGTTCTCTCACAGAGATATTATGAGGTGTTTTCACTGATTTATATCATGTATAATAATATTCATTTAATGTTTTGTGGATCTCTGTTTATTAATAGAAATATGAATTTCAGGCTATGGGAAGTGCTATGGACAGGGTTGCCATGTGCTAACTTCCATTTATTGATATGTGTCGCAATACTCGACGCCGAGAAGGATATTATTATTAGTAATAACTATGGTTTTACTGAAATTTTAAAAGTAAGTCGCTTAATTTTTCGTAGAAATTTTATACATATATTTAGCCGCTCTTATAAACTATAGTCGTAATTATGCAAAGACTTATTATGGTACTGCGTATGGACCGGTCATTGAACAAACAAAATGGTATGGACTCCTTAGTACGGAAATGTTTATGGAGCACTAACTCGAGCACCAATGCGTGCCTTGCGTCCGTGCAGTGTTTCCACTTAGATATTTTGCAGTATTTTAGCGTATATAGGGCTTCAGGCATTTCTTCAATTTGACAGGGTTTTGGATAATTTGGGTAAAATCAAACTTTAGGTAACCCTGTTTTTTATACCCACCCAAAGTAATTTTTTTTTAAGATTATAAAAGGAATTAGGGTCAAAAGAGCTAGAAAAGTGTAGAATGAAAAAGTTTTTCATTCTGTATATCGGAATTATGTAAAATATTTTACTTAGTTACATATTCGTTATTCATATGAGACTAAGTGTATAATTTGAAAATGAGAGCGTCTTTCTTCATCACAAAGCTCAAGATTTTTAATTGTGAAATGATATTCAAATCTTGTAATGATGTTAAAATATTAAAAAATAGATGCAATAAATAAGGCTATTTTGATTTTTTTATGGTAATTTAGGGAGTAGAAATACTAGTAGTATTTCTAAAAGGTTCTAGGGTCAAACCGAAATCATAAGTGGAAACACTAGTTCCGTGGTAGTTCATGATTATTTAAGAGATTGCGCTGATTTATTCTATGCTAAATCCGTGAAAAATTTTTGTTCGCACGACGATATCTTGTCATTTATATCGATGTAATTATGTCATAATGTTGAAAATTGATGTAATTTTTTTTTGGCCTTTGTTTATTTTATTTAATTCTAAAAGTGTAAACTAATAAACGCCATAATAGTTACATTATTATACTTTTTTTCTGAAAAAAATAAAAACTAAAATAAAGGTAAGGTTGACGTTCAGGCACACTGTTCCCTTGACGATAAGTGGTAAATTCTATTGACCATAGAGATTAGATTTATGGTACATAGGACATATCATTCATTTTTTTTCATACCAGCTTATAAAATTCCACTACTAAACGTAGGCTTCCCCTAAAGATTGCCTCATTTGAAGGATTTTGCCAATGTCAGAAAGATGCTGCTGCCCGTCACCTGTTTCAGTTTCTCTCATTTTACGACACTTTCGGAACGCTGTGAGGTAGTGAATATATTTACACTGCCACTACACAGTTAATCGACCGTAGCCTAATGGTTATGGGACGAACAACGAAATTAAAAGGTTGTGGGTTCGAATCCACCGTTCGACTACTGTCGTGAACCACTCCTTACAAAAGCATAGATATCTACATTTAACTTCAAATTAGAAACAACTATGTAGGTCTTTAGGACTGATATGGTCATAAATTTATTTTATTTTAAATGTGTGTTCTTTAATATACAAATTTGTTAAATAACATTTTTTAGTTTTTTTGAGGTTATATATTTTAGAATATGTGTTTACATTTATACAATGCCTCATAAAACATAAGTGAAATACTGATTCTGTGGGGTCTAGTAACTCTAGATCTCTAGATAAAGCGTATGTCTAAAGTCAATATTTTAGCAATACATATTCTTTGCAGCATGTAAATGAATTATCAATGAGACTGGACGTCGACAAAATACTCAGCACAGCGGAAGGAATATACCATCAGATAGTATCAGCTCCGCATTTAACAGATCAGATCCGCGTGATAATAGGCCTACCTACGGTCGGAATCACTACGCAGACTGAAGCTGATGACGACTCCGGCGATGAATCTCCAACGCGGCAACAAGGCGAAGGGGCTTCGCATTCCCGAAGCGAATCGACTTCGCATTTAAGAAGCGAAGCGGTGACAGTGAATGGTAATGGCAAAGAAAATAACGATCAGCGCGTACTCTTCACCCCGGAGATGGACGAAGTTATGTATCAGATAGGGCTTGATATGAATTTCTGAGAGCGGTGATTATTCTCGCTGTTTTTATCCGTGTATTTTACTTAGTTTTAAATTTAGAATGTTGATTGATATTTTGACAATTCAGTGGTGTTATTTTGTTATGTATTGAAATATTTGTCGTTTTTAATACTCATATTTTTTTATATGGCAATCGTTTTTTTAGAAATTTGTCGAGACAACTATGTATTGTCTGCGCGTTCTATCTTTGCTGGGCTAAAGTTGGCTTTGCGAGACGCTCGCGCATGTACAGTCGCTAGTCGGAAACACATGTGCGACTTCACATTGGCAGCTAAGATTGCTTAGTTAAACAGATTGTTTTGCCTATATCTATTACTACCGATCCGCCTCGACTTCGCACGGGTGATTTCTGGATCTCGACAACAGTGCTACCTACAGGGTCCAAATGTGAATGTAAACTATCTAGGGACCCATTAAAACACACACCAAAAAAATTCATCAACATTGGTTGGATAGTTTCAGTCTATAACAGACAGGTAGAAACATTTTTGTGTTTTATACTGGATGCCATTTTTTTACAGCCTGGAAAACGATATGGTGAATATATTTCAAATCAAATCAAATAATTTATTTGTAAAACATAGGTAAAAAGTTACAAACTTGGTGGAAAAGGTATGATAAGTAACGCTATGTTTCGCCTACAAAGGCATACAAATATTTGTTTATCACTATCACCTGGCAATATGAAAATTAATTTTTAATAAAATAATTTCAATTATAATTAGTATGTTTAGAAATAACATAAATTATTATCTTAATTATCAATTACATAAATATAAGCATAAAATAAATAAATCGTCCATTACTTATCGTAGGTACTAAAAACCATTCATTTTATCTTCAAAGTATTCGTTGATAGAGTAGTATGCTTTATATATTAAAAAAAACTCGAAAGCAATTTCTTAAATTTGTCTATATTATCAGTTTCTTTGATGTTTTTTGGGAGTTTATTAAAAATTTTTGGAGCCATACCCAGGAAACTTTTTAAATACAGGGATGTTTTATAAGGTTTTAGTGCGTAGTTTATTCCTATGTCGCTTATATTATATTAGCGTTTTCAAATATGTTACAATGTTTCCTTACAAACATAGCTACTTCGAATATATATAAAGATGGTAGAGTCAGAATGTTAAGATCAATGAAATGCGGTTTGCAACTATCGGTAACCTGCAACTGACATACTGCTCGTAAACATTTCTTTTGCGCTTTAAATACTAGTTCGCGTTTTGGAGAATTTCCCCAAAATATTATACCATATCTCAATGTTGAAGAGACGTATGCATGGTAGGCGGTTATGACTGTTTCACGATTTGTAATTTTTATAAGGTTATGCAGTGCATAGTGGAATTGATTTATCTTTTTTTATTTTTATGTGTTCAATATGTTTACTCCATGTCATTTTTTTCGTCCAGCCAAATTCCCAGAAATTTTGTGTGTTCTTTTTCGTTTATGATTTTAGTTTTATAGTTAATATTAAGTTTTGGTTGTTTTTTCCTTTGTTTGAATGACATAATATGCGTTTTATTCAAATTAATTTTAAGATTATTGTCATTCAGCCAGTATTACATTATCCTGTATAAATTCTGAGTTATGTCCGATTCAATTGAGACCTTGTCTCGTCCCGATAAGGTCATAGGGTGCTGAGTCACCTGGGGCAAATCATTAATATATATTAGGAATAGTAATGGACCGAGTACGCTTCCTTGCGGCACACCGTAGGTTGTTTGCTTTTGTTGCGAAAGGTATGTTATTTCAATATTAGTACAAGGACAGATCTTTTTTTATTTTAGTAATTTGTTTCCTATCATTCAGGTATGAAATAATAAGTTTTAACACATTACCTCTGATTCCATATTTTTCCAGTTTAAGCGCTAAGATATTTAAATGAACGTAATCAAACGCCTTTGTCATGTCCATGTCATGTCCATATTTATACAATTTTTTTTTCATTAACATATGATGAAATTAGTCTATCAATAAATACTACTAATTTGAAATATACTCTCCGTACACAAAAATAAAACAAAAATGTTGAACTAATTAAATAAATCAATTGTAATCTATCGAAATTCAAATCATACGCACCCTACTTTATGAGCCGCAATAAAACAATAAATTTGGTAACGTTCACGCTGGCACCCGCCGTAGGCCTCTTTGTCCTTGTCCTTTCGCAGGGTCACAGGCTCAAGGGCAAAGCCGCCCACACTATCCTTTTAGTGACCTGTGAATAGCTGCGGCGTGACGCCGCGTTGTATTGTTTATACTTCCGCGTGTATATATATATATATATATATATATATATATATATATATATATATATATATATATAATACTCTAATGTCGAGTGCTAATAATGGCGAGATTTTATGTCTTGTATGTTGGAAACTTAGACAGTGCGATGAATCCCGATATATTTACGATTTACGATGATATTTACCCGTGTTGAAACTTATAGCGTGCACAATGACGAATAATTGGTCCATTATGGTCGATTGACGGGGGTAACATATCCGCAAATGATACGTTCCGTCATCGACATAGTCACAGAGTAGTACATTATATATATATGGAATAGAGTTGCTAGTCAATTCTGTGGTACAGAGACATCTATAGTGGAGTTGTCGAACTAAACGGATGATATATCTATCTATAAATATATACTATATATAGTACAGCCCCGTCCCTGGTATACTGATTATTTTTAACGAATTTTATAAGATCACATAATCCTGCAACTATATGCACAAAACTAGTTGCAGAATTATGTGATCAAAAGGTAAATCATAAAAAATAAAACTCAATTTAAAAATAATAATCATCTTTATTCAGGCAATTTACACCCATAACCAGTAAAATCAATGAATTAAAAATTAAGCAATCTACACAATTTTAGAAATAAATAAAAAATGTCGATCAATCAATAAATTTCATCAAAGTAACAATTTTAAAATAATAAATCCAACATGACAATGACAGTATAGAAAATAAATTAATCGAAATAAAGTAAAATAAAAGTTAGTTTATTTACATAAGAGCTGGATATTTAAAATAATAAAGCAACTTATCTACAACACAATCATAAGAAAAATAAAACAAGATGCACAAATTAAAAAAAAATTAGTACAATAGATAAAAAATCAGCAATTTTTATAAAAAAAAAAACTTAAATATCCAATATCTTGAAAACGGTTAAGTTTGATGTATGGTGTTATTGTTGTTTTTAGTAGGTAATGATGCAAACAACAACCCCCTAAAGGATCTAGGATCTAGGTCAATTTAACATGTAAACCTGTATATATATTTCAATATTTATCTTTTATTTATATTTTTTATTTATATTTTATATTTATTAATATATTCTTATTATGGACTATGTTCCAAATTATGATTCTAAATGCAATCAACTTGCTACAATTAAATTTATTTTTACTAAATTATAGTACAAATTTTCTAGGTTGTCTACATAAATATAATGTTTTGTTATTTTAATTTCGGGCTTGAAGGTGACTAAGCCCAAAAGGACTCAAATTAGTACAAAAATTAATGTGTTAGAAACTTAAAAGCATGAATATAGGAAAGGAGAAATATTCAAAAAGACTTACGAAGGCAATTAATTTATCAGAAAATACTACTTTCTTGAAAACAATTAAAAGTTTTATCTCAATTGCAACAATTTTTACCGTCCTCCAATTTAGAGAATGTGGTAAACACAAAATGGGCAGACGATTCACACCAGATGAAAAAGTGATGGCATTACGTTTTTTTAAACGTCGACCAAGACAAGATGCCGCAAAATATATTTGTTCTGCCATCACCTTTCACCTTAAGCAAGATAGTGTCCAAGGCCAATATTAAGCCTGGTATAAATGAAAACATATTTTACCAACTTAAGAAGCAAGCATCTAAAATGAAAGCCAATAATAAATTGTGTACACTGGTTTTTGATGAAATGGCCTTAACACCACATATTGATTATGAACAGGAAAATGACAGGATTACTGGTTTAGTTGACAATGGTGATGTGGTGAGGACAGAAATAGCTGATCATGTGTTAGTCTTTATGATTAGAGGTATTCTAAAAAACTATAAACAGCCGATATCATATTCATTTTGTGCTGGCAGTACAAAAAAGCTAAATTAGCCTTAATGATTAAGAGAAATACAAAAAAATTGAAGGAGTCTGGCTTTAAAATCCATGCTACTGTATGTGACCAGGGAACATCAAATGTTAGTGCCATTAACCACTTGATTGAACAAACAAGGTTGGATTATGCAAGAGTGGGTAAAGAAGCAAGGGATGGAGTATTTGAGGTTGATAATGAAGAAATGGTATCTTGATGTGCCTTATAAAGGAAGAATAATTCTCCTAAAAATAGGAGATATGATTGGAAATATAAACTCTTTGAAAATACCCTACATATAAAGGCATAAGATTAATTAAAAAGCTAACTGAATCTGACCCAAATAAAATACTAAAATGAAAGTCAAGCATGCAACTAAATTTAGTTTAGGTTATTTGAGAGGAGTTGAATGAATCCTTATAGAGTTATTGTAGACAGTCTGAAAGTTATATAGATTATTATATTATACCACTGGTTCGCAAAAAAAAACCTGTCCTGGGAAGAACCAGCAAGAAACCAAGTGGGACTTTTTTTAAACATATTTCAATTTACAATAAATTTATTTTGTACAATGTTTCTATGAGTTTTTATAGAACCAGCATGGTGGCGATCACTTCATTCCCAGGGGTTATTTTCATTTATGTATTCATTTATAATATAATAACCTTTTTTGTACAATTTTTCTTTAATAAAACATTTAAACTTGTTTAATGACAAATATTGTACATTTTCTGGGATTTTGTTGGAAAAGCGTATACATTGTCCCATAAATTAATTATTAATTCTGTAGAGTCCAGTAACTGATATTACAAGCTTATGTTTATTCCTAGTGTTTAAAGTATGAACAACTGTATTATGAAA